TTAGATCAACATCATATAAGACTATAGGCTTTATACTTTAAAAGTTTTAAGTCATGCATGATTTAATGAACATCTTCCACCCTAGATATAATCGAATTTTCAACAGGCAATCTTCTGGATGTTTAACAGTTATTGTACTAGTAATACTTTGTAATAATGAATGCATTATATATTGTGTATTGAACTGTTTTAAAGTGGGACTTTTACTCAGAATTTTAAAAGGTTAAGTCTTAGTGGTATAAAGTGAAATAAGACTTAATTCTTCAAAGCATATAAAACTTCAAATGATTTTTAAAATGAAATATTTCGTATTACAAAGGTATTCTTACTTCAATATCAGCAATTAAAGTAGATTTGCAATAATCTTTTTTGATAATCTTTTTTAGTATTGATTTAAGCAACTGATATTTTGCATGAACCGCAACTTAAATGAGAATTGCTAAAAGAATGTTAAAAAAATTATTTTAAATGTTTAAATTAGAAGATTAGTATACAAGTATCTCAACTTATAAATATTTTATTGCCATAGAAGCCACAAACTCGTTACTCATATCTATTTTGCAGTTCTATAATTTTTTAGAATTGCTCAAACTGCACAACTTCCGAAATGAATCCCGTTATCATAAGGCCTTAATTGCGTTTTCTTATAAATTTTTATGAAAATCACTTAAAAGTGATTCCAACTCGAAATAATAAATCCCTACTTATTTCGACATGAAATTATTCAGATACAACATTTGAAATTATTTAAATAAACATAGTTATGATCACATCTTGATTTATGTATTTATAAGTATATTTCTTTAATCACAATAAAATATCTAGTACAGGGTGGAGAACCTTTATAGACCAAAGGGCCATTTTTTTCTAAAGAAGTGTTTAATGAGGTATGGACGTGTCGTCAAATTATTTTGACTAGTGATTCTTGGGAAAATAATAAAACTAAATACGAACAACTCAAATCTCTTTATTTACTACAAAAAATGCCTTTTGTACGGTAATTGTAAATGCTTTAGTTATATATGTGTAATTCAAATTAAAGAAACATTAGTGTGAGTTCTGTTGTTACATATTGGATGACAAATAAGTTATATTAGGATTGTAAGCTATTACTCTTTTAGTAGAATACATGCTCAATTGGAGCATATGCCAATCGGTTTTTAAGCAATTAATCATTTTTGTTGTGGTTCACTTTTTTGACAAGAGGATTTGAGATTTGTTTCAAAATGTCATTTTACATGTGATGTTCTGCATACCACTATTTCAGAACATAAAACACACACCACTTTGTTGCCTTTACTATTAGTGCCATATTTCTTGATTCATCCAATTTGAAATTCTCTGTTACACTTACTATCCTGCCCTTTTTATTCTTTTGCTGAGCTATCCATGTTAAATAACACTTAAAAATCGTAAATATAACACAAATAAACTTCAAAATACAGTTACGTCAATGAAATTGACTATGCTATACGTAGACAAACTTTGCATTATAAGCAATTGTAGTCCACGACGTAACTAAGGTAAGACAATAAAAACGAGTGTGCTCCCCGCCGCACCGAGACCGATCACTCGCGTTTGTTCGTGATACTTAATAGTGAACTTTGCTATTTTGAAATAATATGCAAGCCATTTTGATTTCTGGCGTGCACAAAATATTGAGTCGCGGGCCATGAATGGTCCACGTGCTAATGGTTCACCATCCCTGATCTAGTAAATCTACAGCAAATGAAATTAATTTTACTTCGCATTTACAAAAATTATATTTATAAACTCGTTGCTATAAATAATACTTAGGATATCCAAAGTGAAAAATGGTTATTAGATTATTTCTTATAAAATAAGCTTATATTTAATTTTTTTAATCATTAAATATATTCAAGAAGTCCTATCATTGAGTAGTAATAATATTTACCATTAAATTAATTAAATTATAAGGAAATGTACTAAAAATAATTTTCATAAATAGAATTTTTCTCTCTAAAATAAATGGAAAAACCTAATATATATATTTTAATAAGAAGGTTGTAAAATTAACTTATGTATGCTTTTGAGAATGTATAAAAGAATTAATTTCGGAGAAATTCATAAACATACCCTTGAAATAGATGACGTGCATATGAATATGTTGGATATGCCTTGGAGATGTTCATTTCTTTTTGAGGACTTCATTATGTATTCGAGATAACATATTGTATTTGTTATATCACCATATGATATTGTATATTTCTTTGTTGTACGATATCGAAGTTTCATTTGTGCAATGAACCGTGGAGAAATTTTTTTTAATTGTTAAGTTTTTAGGATATGAAACTGATATGAGCTTTGTTTCACATTCATGTCATTTCTCTGAATAAAATTAATAAGAAATGGTGGTTTTTATTTGTCTTTTTTAAACCTGTCCCATGCACTTCTAAAATATATTAACAGTAATGTATTTGAAACATTATGTGAGATGTATGTATTCAAATATTTGTATTCCTTCATTTATAAAAACGCACTAAAAGTTTCTGTGGAAAATAAAACATTAAATTTTTTTATTCCAAGCCTAGCTTTAATTCTCATAAATTATGCTTAAACATTCCAAATGTGGGGTTCTTTAATGTGTCAAACGCGAATTCGTGCAACAAACAGTAGTAACAAATACACCCTTTTTAGTTATATTACATCTGACACACTAAGCAACAAATGTTCTGCAATAGTTATTTAATTTAAGTAAGTATCTTATGATAAGCATTGGGATTTGACTTTTAAGGAATTTTAGATTTTAAAGTTGTAATTGCTATTTTTGATTTCATGAAACCAAAAAATTCAGTAAGGGTACTGATATAGAAAAATATAATAAAATCAGACAATAATATTTATTAATTTGAATTAAAATATTTCATGGCTTTTAACTACATGTACAATTTATTGATAATTCAATAATATTTAGTGAATTCCGCTGCAAGATACATTTGTCATTATTGAAGAGCCTCGTAATTTTACGAGTAAACTAATGATGAAGACAATATAATAGTTGTTAATTCATTCTACTAAATGCCTACCTCTCAGGATCAATAATTTGATATTACTATAGAAAGACTGTAATAAGACAATGCGAATGATTTTTGTACACTGTTTATTAAAAATACACGAAGAAAAATTTAATTTTTGAGATTACTTTTGAGTTGGTATTTTATTTTAGTTTATAATTTAGTACAATACAACAACGGTTCAAGTTCAATAAACATGTTTAAAAATTATTAAGTAATTTTTTCTAACTAATAAACTATCATTTACAATATTTTTAAAATAAAGACATATCCACATTTTCCATCAACATGCATATTTACTGTACACAAAGTCAACATTAATAAGAATACATCGATAACATGTAATGAATCGAGCAAATACACCTGGATTACAGAATATCTTCAACAACTACCATGAATCTATCTAATAATAATCGCATTTCGAAAAAAGATTATCACATTGAGAACTTTGCTTTCCCTTCATAGTTAATTTTCAAAAGTTAAATCACAGATTTCGTAATTTTCTTCTTCAGTGTTAATGGCAATGGTGTCACAATGCGAAGCGACTGATTTCCGACTTCCCGACTCTGAATTTATCTGAAACTTTTTGGGAAAGGGGGATGTCCATCTCTCTTCGCTGCTTTCATAATCAGCTTCGGATGGAGGATCACTTGTATTAACGGCAACGTCAGACATATCAACGGTAGCGCTGACAAATGATTGCTCGACAAGTGTATCTGGATTCAAAGATGATAAACTGCATGGAGAGGTGGCTCGATCTTCCCGTCGTGATATAGCAACTCTGACACTCGAGTGGCGTCTTTGATTTTGGACTAAGACTATGTCATGATCCGTTAAACTTTGTCGAGGTCTAAAAAATTCATCATCATCCATCTCGAGGACACTTTCTTGACTGCCAGTATACTGTATAAAATAAGTAATATATATATATATATATAATTTAAGTCAATTCCTACTTAGGTCAACAAAGAAAATTTTTATTTTAAATACGAGGGTTGGAACTTTAATAGTGACAACATTGCTGTAAAAACGCTACACAACAAAACCAAAGAATGTCGTGTATACCACATGTGAGCTACATACCTACCTTACCTCTCAGCAAAAAGACTCGTCCTTCCTACTTCGCGCGCATTCGGAGTGACTCGAACTGATCCTTGTTTTAGCTTGCGGTCTAAAGTAAATGTTCTCAGGATGTTTTTAGAACAAGAACAAAGAAGTTGGATAAAAATTGAATGTGCCAGAGGTCGTGCAGTACGACAATGTCATCTAGGGCATCAAGAGGCTTTCGAGAAATCTGCATTGCTTTACAGAACTGTAGCAAGATGGGTAAAAGCCTTTAATGAAAGATGCCAAAATGTGGCAGACATGCATCCGCCAGGTCGTCCTAGTGTCAAAAAAGCAGAAGTGCATGCTGTTGCCATACTATTAGACAGTGATCGAACCCAGATCTAAGTCCTTGTGACTTAATTCCTAAAATGAAGGAACAACTTTATGGCATTCACTTCAAAACTGTTCAAGAGATTCTTGCGACAGTAGACCGGTCCATTCTAACTATCAACAGAACAGGCGCTGCAACAGGTGTTCTGCGACTTCCTCATCGTTGGAAACGGGTTATAACACAATGCTGGCGACTATATTGAAGCTTTGTAAAACATGGTGACATGAATCACTTTTGTGTTCTATGTAAATAAATTGTAGCCACTATTAAAGTTCCAACCCTCGTAGTTACTTTTTAATAAATAGTTATAATTGTAATGCATATATATATATATATATATAAATATATGAAGAATCACAATATTAAGTGACAAAACAGAAAGCGATTTTTACCTTGCAATTTTCCATTTTTCTTTCTATATAGGGTGTTGGAATTTTGTTTGTTTGTTATTATTTATTAATTAATTAAATTGAATTATTCTAAAAAATATTATAGTAAAAAAGAAATCCCATTCTTAGAAATTAGGCCATCCCAAGTGGGATTGGAACCCACGACCTTTGGATTAGAAGTACCAATTCGTTAACCACATTGCGCTACAGGGACACAACGAAAGATTTTCCTTTCTATATATGCTGTTGGACTTTTATTTTTGTTTGTTACTAGTTATTCATTTTTTAATTTAATTAATGAATTAATATTTGAAAAAACTGAATAAACATCAAGTGTCATCCACTGCAAGTTTAAAAAAACATATTTGAACTTGAATGGAAAAATACTAAGTATTTTATAAACAATTGAAAATTTGAACAACACACACACACATATATATACATATATATATAAAGGAGAGAGTGAACTAATAGTAGGAATTGAAAAAATGTATTGGATTAGGGCGTAAGACATTTGTGAGTAGTACATAAAATCAGGGCTTCCAAATGAAACTGAACCCAAAACCGAAAAAACCCGTTATTTTAGTCAGAACGAAAACCGGAACTGAACCGAAAAAAATATCAATTTATTTCGGTTCGAAATATTCTCAGTTATTTTATTACTGTTTACAACTTATTTATATTTTTTAATATATCGTCAATCATATAATTATCATCTTTACATGTACATTGCTTCTCAATTTCCTGTTTTGATGTTCATTAGAACTTTTCTATTTCAGTTTCGCCTGAAACTACTTGTAGAAGGCAGATATAATTCAGTTGAATGAATTAGATGATTTTTTAAGAAAATATGTCTGAGATATTTTTCGCATCTCAACATGCGACCATCCTCGCATGTTTGTATAGACTGCTTAGATAGACAAACCAGAATCATGAACCCAATTGTCAAGTGCGATTTTGGTAATGGATAACAATGCCAATGCTCGCCGTTCTCTGCTCACCGCTCATATCGTAAATGCTGGTTAATTGTATGAATTTATTTAGTGTACCAATTAAAAAAGAATAAAATCTTCTAAATTTTGATAGAATTACATTTTTGTTTATGATAGTATTATATTTTTAGTACAAATAAGATATATATAAAATAAAATTATTCCTTTCGGAAATGAACCGAAAGTTGAAAACCATTATTTTTGGCGGAACGAAAACCGGAACAAAAAAAAAAATAATGGTTCGAAGTCCTGTATAAAATATAACAAGTGTAGCACATGTTATGTTTTTAAAAGCGACTTTTGAACTGAAAATGTTTAACTATAAGAACTAATTTTCTTATGATTTAAGTTTCATGTTCAGAGATTCATACCTATCACGTTTTGTTTGTAATAAATTTTTCACTTATTTTGGAAAAATAATTAATTTCATCATTTGTTTTGACATCGCAACCTTACTATGGTATTTGTAAGACTTTTTTTTTACTTTGATTTTAACTTTTTGTCTCATACATAAAGAATGCTCTTTATTAACTCTCTAATTAGAGAGGACAATTATGTATTCAAAAAGATAGTATATACATGCAATTGAATGTGATAACATTCTTCGGTATTTGAAGTTTTTTGTTTACAAATATATTAAAACCATCACATTTTAAAAACATTATTTAACTCTTCATAGAGTTGATACTAAAGTTGTGAAAAAAAAACATTTTGACAGTTTATTTTAAAGTTATACAATGATTATATTACTCCTAAGTAGCAAAACACGATATTTTTTGGAACATTTGAAGAATAATTTGGATAATGTTTTGCATTTTCCATTAATACTTGCAAAACACTCGGTTTTTCCGAATTGGCTAAGTGTTACGTATTTATTTAATTTTCACGAGAATGCTACGACAAATCACCATTTGAGCTTTTAACTGCAAATACCTTAAAAATTATATGAAAGTAAGTAAATGTACAGTAATTCATCTGCTAAAAAAAAACAAAGCCTTTACATTACAGCCGTTTCGTAAAATTCATGGAAACCTTTTTGCAATTCCATTTTTGCTCCACTGCACATAATTCCATTATTTTGTAACACTTATAACCTTGATTTTTGTATGATGCGTCGCTCTGTTATTTATGATTAAATCGTTTTTAATGGTTATATGAATTGGGAAAAACTCTCTGTGTACTTTTTACGCTTGATAAATAAAACATTATTTGTATCAATGATAAAGATTGGTTATAGTAAAATTTTAAATTAAATTACTATCCGAATTCAAGAAAACTAAAATTTAGTCCTGAAACACTTTTCCGTAAAAATCACATAAAATGAAACTAAATTTAATATACTAAAAATTACTTAATTGACTTACTTAAAAAATTCCTTATACTTATACTTAATAATTGAAACTAATTTATAATACTAAAAAAGAAATAGATGCTGGTTGTGCAAAACTTCATTTTCAGAATTTCTTGATTTAAATCCTATTTAAAAACACTTCAATTTAACTCTGCTAATAATGTGTTCTCTTCTGAATTAGTGCAGCATAAGTAAAATTTTAGAGGAAAGCGATGAAATGATATGATATTTCCTATTAAATGAAGCTAAATCTAGAACCTGTAGAAATAAACATTAAAATTGTTTTCAAGATGTGGATTCCTTATTTTATTTTCTTAAAGAAAATTACTCTCAATGCATAAATTGTTTCACTTTTTAATGCTTGAGACTTTGGAGAAGTAAGATTTGAAAATAAACGTTCAGTATCGAACTTTTCTCCCCATCTCTTGGGGAAGTGTATCAGAAAGGAGAAAGAAAAACACCCTCAAACGAATTTAATTACCTTCTTCCTCAGAAAAAAGTTCAGCTGACATTAAAAGGATTGATAAAAGAAAAGCGGACTTATACTAACATCAGATTTCTAGAAATGATTGATATATTGTCATAGAATGTCTTTTCATATAGTTTATCAAACTATTCTTTCGAAAGAATGCGGGCAAGCTAAGTTGGATTTCAAATATTTTTATAACATGAAACTTAAAACTCAATAATGGTTATTATTATTTATTGTCCAAAAAGGGAAAAATTTTCCTGAGAAAAAACGAACATTTCGTCACAGAAATTTTCATGAACATAGACATAAACTCGACACGAAAAAAAATTATAATTTTAGATAAATTAATTTATTTTTAGAGCAATGCTTTGTGAAATTTTTAATTATATATTGGCTCGCAACCCAATTAAAAAAAACTACAGTCAATTAAAGTTTTTCTCATTAATAAAATTTGGAATATACAATATTTTACTACACAAAATAAACAGATATTTCATTCAGACTAATACTTACAATTAGACCAAAATGCAAAAGAATGTCTAGTTTGCACATTGGGCATGATCTTTGTTCAAGAAGCCAAGGATCGATACAAATTTTATGAAAGGAATGCCTAAAATAGAAACTATCATTAGAGTGAAAAAGAGAAACATATAATTATGAGCCAAGTAAAAGTATTTTATTGTAAATCCCTATCGGTACATTGTTCACCGATTATAAAAACTTGTTTTTTCTATGAAGTTAAATTTGTTTTAGCATTTTATTTTCGAAATTCTAGCAAGTTTTTCCTTAAAATTTATAATTAGCTAATGACAAGAACCCAAGCTTATTTTACTTTAAACATTTAAGGACAGCTTTTGATTGGAAATAATTATTCTAAAAGAAAGTTAAATTTGAAAAATCTGAAAAATGAGGAAATATTTTGCTCACAATTTTATTTGAAATGAGATTTTTTTTCATAATCCGAGCCTTGATTGGTTTCAAACAAATTGGTTAAGGAATTCGATTTATTTATTACAATTTTCGGAGTTTCAGCTTTATAGGTTATAGACCTCAAACAAGTTCGGTTTTAATAATCTATTTGTTTATTATAACTTTCTACTCTTGTTTTTGTCATCGATATCAGTAAATCGATAATCTGCATCAATGTATTGTTATTGATTTGTTCAAAGTGGCTATTTGATTGGAGCATATCATTTTTGAATGCATTAAGTATGTTAATAGAATTTCAATGACTTTCGTAGTATAGTTGGTATTGATACTTAATATAATAGTTGTTTGTTTTTATTTCATACTCAGAAAACAGAACGCATGTAGAGGTATCAATGCACTGCAGTATTGCACTAATTATCTTTTAATATAAAATTTTATTATTAATTATTTTTTTTAAATTTTATTATTATTTAAATTTAAATGAAGCGAAAATTTTTTGGATACTTTCAAAATCCTACAGCTCTTACTTGCATGGTAAAGATCGAATGAGTTCTCCGTGCTGAAAGTGTTCAATGCAAATTGCACAGCATTCATATTCATCATCACGATCCTGAAAGATACAGAAAAAAAGCGTTTTAATGAATTATATATATTTATTATATTACATATCAATATATACATATACATACATGTATATATATATTTACATTTTATATATAAATGGGAATATACTTTCATATAAATTATCTCTAAATGTGAACATGTTAAGAATCAGTGTGTGTGTGTTCAAAATGAACATCAACTCATCAGTGGAAAAGGCATAGAGTACAAGTTGAGTAGCCTGTCATTCACCTATTATATCCTGAAGTTAAGGTATCCGACTACTTGCGACTTTTTTTAAAAAAACGGAGATATGATGATTTTTTTGTGGTTTTTAGATTTGCTTAGTATATTTTAAGAAAAATATGCTAAAATTAAAAAAAAGAAGTTATTATAACTAAAATGGCAATAAATGGGTAAGGATTTACAAAAAATAACATAAATGGGCCCCAATCTGAACCAAAAGTTTATAAACCAATTTTTCAATTCTGATGTGTTTGCAATATTATTCATTTTTGAAATGACCTTCAGGATAAGAGATATTTTCATTTTTACAAAAAATAGAGTACTTTATCTTGGTGATTGTATGAAATTGCTTTAAAAAAAACAGTGGTTATATTAGCATAAGGGACTGTAATTCTTGTAATAAAGCAATGATCGAAAAATCTGTTGGTTAAAACACTTCTACTATTATACAGAACACACACACAAAATTTCAGTTAATTATTTTCAAAACTTTTTGAGCAATCGCTGGCCTCGTTTGAACATTTAAAAAAACTTTTCGAGTAAAACGCGCTTAAAGTATGACATCTTGCTTAAAGTAATGGCATCTGCTTTTACTAAAACACTTGTAATTTTTGTCCAAGTGA